TCAAAACCGTAGAAATGATGGTAGACTTTAGAAGAAACTCTCCCATACTATCACCTCTTACAGTACTAGACAACACAGTATCAACAGTAGTAACCTTCAAATTTCTAGGTTGTACTATATCACATGACCTAAAATGGACAACTAACATCAAAAACGTCATCGAAAAGCACAACAAAGAATGTTCTTTCTGCGCCAACTCAGAAAGCTCAAACTGCCCAAGGAGCTGCTGATACAGTTCTACAGAGGAATTATTGAGTCTGTCATCTGCACCTCTATAACTGTCTGGTTTGGTTCTACAACCCAACAGGACAGACACAGACTTCAGAGGATAATTAGGACTGCAGAAAAAACAATTACTACCAACCTGCCTTCAGTCGAGGACCTGTACACTGCACGAGTCAAAAAAAGGGCTGTGAAAATATTTACAGACCCCTCACATCCCAGACATAAACTGTCTCAACTCCTTCCCTCAAAACGACGCTATAGAGCACTGCACACCAGAACAACTAGACACAAGAATATTTTTTTCCTGAAAGCCATCACTGCTAAACAAATAATTCCCCTCAACACTGTTCAACTATTACAAAAAGGTAGTTCTATTGGAGTTCTGTAGCATGATTAGAACAGTGCATGCTATTACAAAGTCTGTACTACTATTACTGTTAATCTTCTCATCACTCCTTATCACCCATCCCCTCCCACTTATGACTGTATGACTGTAACTTTGTCACTCGTACCCTTACTATTTATATATTCCTAGTTTGATTTGATTGCTTATTGTACCCTATGATTATCATTAAGTGTTGTACCTTATGGTTCTCGACAAATGTATCTTTTCTTGTATGTATACTGAGATATTTACACCAAGACAAATTCCTTGTGTGTCCAACCACACTTGGCCAATAAATAATTCTATTCTATTCTATTAAACAATCTATGTGGAGTCACAGTAGCAGAGGATGTATGTTATAGTTCTGAATTGTTATTGCTATATAATTAAGACAGCATGCACTGTTCTAATCATGCTACAGAACTCCAATAGAACTACCTTTTTAAAAAGTATACTTAATCATAAACTCAAAATCGTATTACAAAACATAATGCCCTGAAGACATACAATGGAATGTGTTAAGAAGAAAATAAACTTTGCATGGATAGCCTTGGTAAAATGGCAATAAAGGGGGACTCTAGACTCACCATGTGACAGCACTTTCACAATGCTACGTACAACCTACAAATACACAGATCAAGTCAAACATGCACCCATCATTATAAAATAGTGCAGGCAGAAAAGACCTATTGATACAAAACTGCAGCCACTTTAATAGTAATAAAACTAGTTGAGGAAGAGTACAGGAGACTAAGGCTACCATACCCACCAATCCAAAAGTCATCATCTACAATTGTTCCCCTGTCCTAGTTTCAGCTGAAACTTCCTGACAAGTTACACTATGATTCATTGAGAGCTTGCTCCAATAAAAATAAACTAAGATTAAATGTTATTTCCAATTATAAAGAAAATGCAAGGAAATAATATAGAAAAAAGTTCCCAGCGGGGGCATATTTTATTGTTTTTCAAATATATACTTAACTAGTTTTCTATAAGGAGTGTCCCCCAGATATATTTCACATTATATTAAACAAATATATTTCTACACTGGTCACTATCCATTTACAAAATATTAATGTAAGGTTTTTAAAAGTTACTCTTATTTTTTATATTTGAAAGATGAATTCACAGTGCTTAGTGCACGCTGTTTAAAAGATGTATTCTGCTATAAAAAACATCTATCTATCTATCTATCTATCTATCTATCTATCTATCTATCTATCTATCTATCTATCTATCTTTGTAGTCAAACTGAACATAGTATAGTGGTTTGGGCAGGGGTGGGGTTCTACCAGTTTGCACTATTCGCTAGAACTGGTTGTTAACATTCTAAGCAGTTCGGAGAACCGGTTGTTAAAAGAAATTACTGGCCTAATCCTGTAAGAAAGGCAGGGAGGAAACATTCTGATGTTGCTTACAGAAACTGCCTTTCCATTAACCCTCATTATATTCTTGGCAGGACTAGACTTCCTGTCTCAGGAACTTCTCTGGAGTTTTTTTTCCTCCTTTGCTGGTACTTTGCTTGTGTGGAGTGACCATTCAAAGTTACAATGGCACTGAAAAAAGTGACTTATGACCGTTTTTCACACTTACGACTGTTGCAGCATCCCCACAGTCATGAGAGGCCAGGCAAGGAGATGGTACCTCGATGTGAGTGATGTTGAGTTGGCCATGCCCACCCAGTCACATGACCACCAAGCCATGCCCACCAACTAAGCCACGCCCACAGAACCAGTTGTTTAAAAAATTGAATCCCACCCCTGGGTTTGGGGCTGCAAAAATATAGTGCTCAATTGGGTAATATGTAATTTTCCAGTTGACTATTGGCTTCTATAAGTTACTAATAATTTTAATGATACTAATGATCCAATGATGCCTCTCAACTAGCAAAAAACTTCTTCTATTCATAGAAAAGTTATTTCCCACTCACTGGAAAAATACTGTCTAAAATCAGCCCATGTCTGCTGTTTACTGTTGCTCTTTCATGCACACAGTGCATGTGCTTTAACATGCCAATTCTTCTACCTCTGCTGCTGTAATATATCTTATGATACACCTTGAAGCTGTTTTATGACACAAAAATCTCCCATTGTTGGAAAGGATTAATTTCTATTCTTATTTAAAATTAAGCCATTGACAAAAAATATAATTTTAACTGTGTAATCTCAAATTTTGGAGGCTCACGTAATTCATTCATCAGAATTTCCTCTTAATTTCTGAAGATCAGATCTTAGCTCTCTTGCTCACATATATTCTCCAAGATGTACTTTTTTTCTTCTTCAGAAAATGTTCTTCTTCCTGATGGCTAAAACATTCCATCCTGCTTGGATGTACTGCATCAAGCACTCTTTCTTGTGTTGAAGAACCATATATTTTATATCTTACTACATGAAATGCTAGATCAAATATAGTTTAGTTTTTTTTCTAACTGAGCATACTTATGTCGGGGTTAAGTTTTTGTTTTTGCATTTGGATTTGTAACGGCAACTAAGCTTATCATTAACAACAATAAGGAAGCAAATGGAAAGCAATCAAACTGCTTGAATCTGTATAATTGCCAAACACCTAAAGGCAAGAAATCCTCCTGCTGTAATTACTAACAACATTTGCCATGGAATGAATGATTTCATTGACTTTTTAGGATGGCAATATAGTACTTCAAAAAGAAGCCCTATTCCTGTCATCTGTCAAGCCCTATTCAATAGACCTGTCAAAACATTCCTGGCTCATGAATTAATTAAACATCTTTTGGAACCCTGACAAGAGTCTGATGCCTTTTACGAGTGCAATTAGGGGGTTCATAGGCAGGTTGGGGTGTTGAAAAAAAATGGTAACAACAACAATAAAACCCCTTGTATATCTCTGAGTACAATGAAACAATTTTTTGCCTCAGAATGGCAAACTTCAAGAGTTATTGAGCTCAAACCAAACAATTAGCCTGAGATTATTATCTACCTCCTGAGCCTGGCCTCCACATCCAAAAGTATATGAGATGTACCCCACCATTAAAAATGTTCTCTTTTGCTAAAACTAAAAACAGCATGCAGCAGACAAGGGGCTGTTATGACAATATGTTCTCCATATCTGTTTATTCATAGAGCTCTGTTATGGAAGGTACTAAGATAGAGCTGCCTCTGCAGAAGGAGAACATCTATGCCAGGATTGCAGTATGTTGCATGAATAGACTAAGATCTGTTATCATTTATTGATAAATTTGTTTCATAAAGAATGTATGTAAGGCAATCTGGAACTACTAAAAGAAAATCAGATAGTATTGCCATTAACAGTAAATGTCTGCTGAGGCTTTAATCAAAGCAAGTGTTGACTCTGCAAGGTGGAAAGACTAAGAAACCAATTCCATATAGGGGAGGACTACTTTTATTTAACACCAACAGTGCCTGCAGTAGACTCTTGCAAGTCTGAATGTGCTTCCCCCTATCTAACATGATTTTCCTGTGATCTAGGGAGGGACCTGAGGCATTTATTCAAATTAATTTCTTGACCTGAATTGAACCTCTTATCCAACCTTTGCTTTGGTAGAGGCTCTTCCTCCTGACCTTCAATATCATTCCCCTATGCCCCCTAAATCAGGCCGTGTATTCATCAATGTATACTTCAGTTAATTCTATTATAAATGCAACAAAAATATCTGTGACGTTACTAGCTGCATTTAGTGTTATAACTATAATGATACACTAACATCCATTTTTTTTGCTATAAAACAATTTTTCAAGTAGCACAGAATTCATTTTTATAAAGTCTACCATTGTTTGCACTCCGAAAACTAGAGTTTAAGGAAGAAGCATGACTTTGTTTAAGTTAGACCTTGATTCTATTCAGCAATTAAGATTTCAGCCCAATGTTTAGACTAGACTAGACTAGACTAGACTAGACTAGACTAGAATAGAATTCTTTATTGGCCAAGTGTGATTGGACACACAAGGAATTTGTGTTGGTGCAAATGCTCTCAATGTACATAAAAGAAAAGATACATTCATCAAGAGTCATAATGTACAACACTTAATAATAGTCATAGGGTACAATAAGCAATCAAATCATACTAGGAAACAGTCAGCTCTTGATAGTACCGTAAGTCCTTGTTAAGATCTCATTGGCTTTCTAGCCTGAAAATACTAAAGACTACACCTAAGAGCAACTATACGTAAACACCTTTCTTTCTGTACAGTGCATTCTTCCTACTTTCAGAATTGGATCCCAATTCAAATACCCTGCACAGGTGTTTTTTTAACAATATAACTATGTTAACTGCAGCAGCCTAAACTGATTCAAGTTATCAGGATACTATTGCCTAGAAAAATATTCTCTGCAATGCTTTCTCCCGTAAAAGCAAGAATTTCAAGAACAAAAGAGTAGTCTTTTGATAATTTACCTGCAGTGTCTTTCTCTCCTGTAGTTAGTTCTCCATTGATTCCATTTTCTTTGGTCCTGGAATATGAACTCTGTGGTCCAAGTGCACCATATTCTCCAGCTTCATCCTCTTTGTATGGAAACCCATTAGAACTTCTGACCAGTCCTTCCCCTGTGCCACTTTGTTCCTTCATCTCTGCGGCATGTGGATGTGAAGAAGCTTCTGCTATCTGACCCGAAGTCCAGTGTGGTGCCTTAGCTTCATCTTTCCTATCATCTGCCATACTTCTTGTCCTTTATAATTTTTCTTCTACTAAGAAGGGAAAGAGAAATCACTAGTAAACTGAAACATGCTGCAGATGTTCTTTCCCACCCATTGAAAAAAACTGAAATATGGTTGGATAGAGAAATGAGTAAGAAAGCACTATCTTGGGGATATGAAGAAAATATATATATATTGAAAGTTTTATACTTGACTTCAATATAGTAACATGCACAGCAATTAGTTTTTCAGTAGTAAGAATTAATTAATAATCAATCAACTAAATTTATGCAAGGCTAAGTCCATTTTAGTCTCATTGTATAGTGGGCTGCACAAGAAGAATAACTGGTCCAACATCACTCATTGACTTGTAAATGAATGCTAGACTTCCCAGTCTAAGCCTTCAGCCATCAGCACTCAAATCCATGGCGTGTCATTACTACCATATTACAGTCACATTACTAAATGCCTGTAGATGATCGAACAAGACTGAGCTACTGTAGCGCTTTGATATTATTTATTTTTTTCAAATTGCAGTATGGGTTCAACATTATATAGATAATGTAGGAGGGAGTTCCAGTCTCTGGATCATCAATTTCTGTGAATCTAAAACAAAGCATGGCCAAATAACATATATGTTGGAGTGACACCTCTCACCAGGTGAGACACTCTGATTTCTAAACTTTGAATTCCTCATTGGAAGCACTGTTGCCAGTGCTGAATCCGGGGGGGGGGGGAGAGGGAATCCATGGTCATTGAACAGTGATACACATACAACCTTCAAATACGGTAAATAAATAAAAAAGAATACTAATTCTAGTTCCAACCCAATATGGCCCCAATCGAATTTGAAGCAAGTATTCCAATAGCCCAGGTCTTTGGGTTTTTGAAGTTGGCTCCATTTGTAATACTGCAAGGAAGCAGTTTGAAGATGTTATAAGTTGAAAGTTTATTCCTGTGTTATTTTAACAATCATGTGGAATAATACAATTTACTATATCTTACAGCTAAGGGACTTTTTGAAATGCCTGAATGCCCACTACTACTTGCTGTTAATCTTAGGAAGACTAAGGGGAGGTAGTTGAATTGAGTCAACTGCTTAGCATTTAGATGGGATGATTACTATCTTTGGGGCAATAGAAAGTTGCTATAGTAGTAATTCAGAAATATTTTGGTTTATTTAGGCCAATGGATCTCAAATGGTTTACATTTTTCTGCTTACAAAATGCAATTACTTGAATACAAACAGAATGCCTTATGCTGAATCACCAAGAGTCTGATTTGACCAGTATTGTTTCTTTTTTCTGGCAGCTATCCAGAACTGCAGAAATTAGATCTTTTCTAATTCAGTTCCAAGAACCCTTTTTTAAAGCTAAAGATAATAGGTAGTAATACAGGTCCTTCAGCATGCAAAGCCCATACATTGCCATGCAGTTATAGTCTGTATGATTATGATACAATGTGATACAGTGCTAGAGTCCTATCTTAAAAAAAAACCCAACCAATACAGTTATAGACTATGATGTCCAGGAGCAATAGAAACTGGGGCTTTTGTACAAGTAGTGCAAAAGAGTGAACTCTGTCACATGAAACTTGTTGCAATACCATTATTGAAGAAGTAAAATAAAAACCCCTATTTATAGGGTTTATGGATGATGAACTGTTATCATCATCACAATTTGTCTTTGTACTTCATTTTATAGGAGAACGACCGGCAGAGCCAAGGGAAGAGGAGAAAAGAGGGATCAGCCTAGAATCACTACGTAGCCACAAATGATCTGTCCAATCTCCCCATGACTGCCATTGACCCTTATTAACTCTAACCAGGTGCTGACCTTTAGTTGAGAAGAATCCTGGACATAGACCTTTACCAATAAATCAGTTAAACTGAACCTTCGTGTGTGGATCTGGTTTTTGTTGCAGATACTTTTTGATGTAAACTAACTCAAAGCAGCCCATATTATTAAAAGAAAGCTTGCAAAATGCCAATCTTCCCAAATGAAATCAATACTGTAATTATGTGAATTTTAAAGATTGTACAATGCTAAACAACATTAAATGTATATAATCCTAACAGAAATCCAGAAATACAATTTAATTAGCAAAACTGCTGCTTTTCATCAAATTAAGTGGTGATCCAGCAGCAAGGCTTAAGATTTGCTCTGGGTACCTTCAATTGCAGGTAACTAAATACCTGAAGAAAAAGGCCAATTATTTCAGTCTAGATATAGACTGGATAGAGAGAGGGGGAAACATCACACAATCTCCTTGTAGCAAAGTAGAAAAAATAGAAATACAGATATTCATATATTAAGAACATATGAAGCTTCTTTACATACAGCACTATGATTGTCCTCGTGCCTCCTGTATCTTTTTTGGTTTCCTCAGGTTTTTTTTCAAATGGAAGTACAGCCGCTAATATATGGACCTTGCAGTGCACATAAAACTGTTAAAACTAAAAATGGGCAAAGGTGAATTGTTTTATAACTATCACAAATTCTCTTTATAAATTTATTTTTCAGGATTTATATGTATCTTGCTTTCCTTTATCCCTGATAAAATAAAATCCAGTTATGAATCACATCTGTTCCTGATTTCAAAAGGTGAGCCTAGAGACAAGACTGTATGACTTCTGTGGCATTTAATGCTGCTTCTGATATGCTATGTATCTTCTGAAGAAGATGGAGGGCTTCAGTAAGTAAAAAGAAAAAGAAAATAAGAACTTGAGGGAAGGACCTCAGTCTAATTCTGCCCAAGATCCTGAAGTTATCATGCTATAAAAATGATGGCCAGATATAAATTATGGAACAGATGTAAATCCAGATTGTGCCTAAAAGTAGTTTTACTGGCCTCAGCACAAGAAGCATCTTATAGAACAGAAAAAGCAAGCAAAGAAAAAAATTTAGACTTGCTAATATCAAGACTTGCAGGAAAATGGAAAAAATTTTACAGGAAAATGGAGATGAAAGCAAGAGAACAATTGGCTGCAGAGGGATTAATTTTTCAATGGTTTTTTATGCACAATTAAAAGACAAGTTTAATGTGGATTAAAAGCTTCCAGGTATAGAATAACATGTAACAAAATTTAAAATGGAATTATGTACCAATATGAACATGTATTTGCTAAAATATATAAACTTCTGTTAAGATCAAAAATAGAAAAAGAACAAATTAAAGAATGTCTATAGAGATTCTCAGTCATCCAGGTCATGGTTATCCCAAAGATGCTTTTTCAAGAGGCAACTGAACTTTCTTGTTTTTCATTGAAGACATTTCACTTCTCATCCAAGAAGCTTCTTCAGTTCTGACTGGAAAGATTTATATTCTTCGCAGACACTGATCATTTGCTGTCATGCTAGTGTAAACATGACTTCTACAAGACAGTCAGGGGTGGGATTCTACTGGTTTGGACCAGTTCTGTAGAACCAGTTGTTATGATTCTGCACAGTTAGGAGAACTGGCAAATCCCCTGGCTGGCCCTGCCCCTCTCTACCCGCCCACCCCTGCCCAGTCAGTCCTTACTCTGATGTCTTAACCACTTGAGATCAATTGTTCTTAATATAAATGTTACCCATTAGTAAATTCTAGGTGTTTTCTTTTGAATAAATTTGGGGGGAAATGCAGACTTAGCACATGAAACTTTTGATGCAAAACTAGTTTATATCAAGATAAAGAAACTACAAAGCCATTGAATATATTATTCAATCTAATCTATTCTATATTTTTCTAAATTTCACAATATGTATAAAATTATTCTCTGCCCTCTTAATTGCTTCATTTCAGGAAAAAGCATGTAAGATTAAGCATGCATTTGTATTTGTGTTAAGCATAGCTTATGATCAATTAAAAAAAACCATACATTTAAAAGATACAATGGCTGTCCTCGCTTAACAACTGCCTATTAAGCGACCATTAAATTTTATGATGATTAAAAAAACCATTTCACAACCAATTGTCACTTTTATGATCATTGTAGCATCCCATGGATATGTGATCACCATTTGGGCCAGTGGTGGGATTCAAATTTTTTTACTACCGGTTCTATGGGCATGGCTTGGTGGGCGTGGCAGGGGAAGGATACTGTAAAATCTCCAGTCAGAGGTGGTGTTTACTGGTTCCTCGAACTACTCAAAATTTCCACTACCGGTTCTCCAGAACTGGTCAGAACCTTCTAAATACCACCTCTGATTCGGGTGCTTTGTAATGGACATGCATTTAGGATAGTTGCAGCATCCTACAGTCACAGGATTGCTATTTAGGTGCTTCGTAACCAGCTTCCAACAATTGTTAATTAAGAATTAGTTAAGAATTAATGGAGAACGTGGAAGTGATATTGCAGGTCACAATCAGGTGATGTCTCACTTAATATCTGCAATGATTTGCCTAAAGAACACTAAGCGAGATCACAAGACTTCCCCAAGGACTACTTGCACTTGAAATGCCAAAATATTTTAAGCAGAAATGTCAGACTTTGACTCTGAGTCCCTGAAGTGGGCACAAACACATGTTTATATCCACAGCTGGCAGCAAATCTCAGAATGGCTCAGGAACTCCATGGCTTAAAAAAGCAAATAAAGTGCTGGACAAGCCAGATATGGTATTCAGCAGGTTCTGACCAGTTCTGGAGAACCAGTAGTGGAAATTTTGAGTAGTTCGGAGAACCAGCAAATACCACCTCTGACAAGAGATTTTACAATATCCTTCCCCTGCCAAGCCACGCCCATAAAACCGGTAGCAATAAAAAAATGGAATCCCACTGTTCTGTATTAACATACTCCAAAAGGTAAATTCTGATTGGTCCACACAAACTGCATTCTGATTGGCCGACTCAACAACCGTGATTGGCTTACTTGGAATCGACCGCGATTGGCCAAGCCGATCACGGGAGATTCAAAGTACTGTCATTGGCCGACGAGCCGCAAGCAATCCCTATATGAAGGGCTGCCGCGGCTCCAAGATCTTGTACAGGTCTATACAATGAAATAAAGAGCTTGAAGTATACTGGTCTTGCGTCTCTGATTG